ACCAGAGCTCTCTGACAGAAAAGGCTCAATGTCTCAGAAAAAAATATATTTTCCATAATTCCCTAGCACTGAGCCAGGGCAGTTAAAGTTGATTCAAGTTGCATTATTTCTGGCAGTCTGTAAAGGCCCTAAATCAGGCTGTATTAGACTAATTTAGATTGATTGTAACCATCAGACCTCATGGCTATAACCTCAAATTATGCAGCTTTTCTGTTTCTTTCCTCACCCTTTGGTTTTGTATCATATAGATTGAAGAAATCTGGAGGATTAAAAAACCTGCATACTTTTGTGGAATGTTAGTTGGCTAATAGAAATACTGCTTAGCTGTGGATTTATCTGCAGGTGTACTCCAGTTAACAAAGCCTCTGACAAAGAAGTTTTTTTTTTTTTGCAAAGTATTTTTATGCCCACCTAGTCCCCACCTTTTCTTTCTTGTCCTCAGGTTTAGTTTGTTTTTTCTTTTTTAGTAGCATTGCCATTGGGAAGATGATGAAGGCAGTCTGGAGAATTACAGACTTCTGGTGTGCAATGCAATAACTCTTGAACTGGGAAAGAACTGGATTCTGCTCTAGCCAATCCTACTGTAGCTGTATGTGCCTTCTTACAACAGGCAATATAAATAGTAGCTGCCTCCAGAATTCTTTATTAATTATGTATGAACACCAAAACAGAAAGAAAAGGGGAGAGAGGATATGTTTTTATCCTGGCTCCCCAGCTTCCCCTAGAATGTTAAAAAGCATAGATCTGTACGTTTGGTCACCAAAACCTTAAGAAGAATTGAAGCTGGTAAATGGGGAAAAACAGTCCCTGGTTATATATTGGAAGAAGCTTTCTAGTGGACTTCTAGAAGATTCAAAATATTTCATTTACTTCTGCAAGGCTTACCTGACCTGTTGGTTTCATTTCACACATGTATAGTGTTAGTTCTTGATAAAAGGTTTGCTGAAACATGTTGAGTTGCTCTTCTCTTTTGTGGTGCAGGGACCAATCCCTGTTCTTTCTGTGTTCTTTCTTCCTCTGGTACCAAATTTTCTGTTAAAGTAATGCCTGAGAATGCATCTACTATGTTAAGATATTTATTTTCACATAGTTCTACACTGATAAACAGGCTAACAAAACTATTTCAAGTGCTTATTACTAGAAAAGTAATTATTTGCAAGGCTGTTGTGTGATGCAGGTGCATCAGGTATTCCCTCCAATGTTTGTTTAGGAGAAGGGAATTTGTTTGGTGAAGCGAGGTGGGATGTACTGAAACACTGGTTCTCAAACACAGATTTCCAGGTGCTGTTGGACTACACCTCTCCAAAAAAATTCTGTCTAGCGACCATGCTGGCTAGGACTACTGGGAGCCAAAAACATCTGTAGAGACAAGTTTGGAAACTGTTGCACTAAGTGATAATAATGCCCATTGGAAATAATGGGGACTATTCAAAAATCCAGAGGAAATAACAGGAATAGCAAATGCCAGTTGACAGAACTGGTTCCATGGAAAGAAATGCAAAGGACAAATAAAGCAAAAGGATAGGTGACAGAAGGAGGGGATGGAGTCTGAACAGAAATAAAATATTAGTTTATAATCCTCTTTCTATTTTATTGTTGAAAATGTTTACAGCTAAATCATGTCAATTAACATTTGCTGCTTCCGCTATTTCCTGCAGACCTTCAGACAGTCCCCATTGTCTCCAAGGAGCATTCTTCTCATTTCTTTCAGTACATAATTTTGCTTCATTTTCTGAAATGAACTATTTGTATTGATGGCAAGACCTTTCTTGCACTGTACCTGTGTTACTTAAGGATGATTCTTCTGCCCTCCAAGCCAACACAGAAGAGCTATATGTTTTTATCTAAAAGGCAAGGGATAGTTCTAGGAGTGTGTGTATCTCCTTCAAATTGCCTGAATTTCATAGGGTTTTGTTAGGCAAGGAATACTCAGAGATGATTTTGCCAGTTCCTTCCTTTGAAATGTAGCCTATAGGACCTGTATGCAAGTACTAACCAGAACCAACTCTGCTTAGCTTCCAAGATCAGCAGGATCTGATAACTTTAGGGCATATAGCTCTAGTTTTAGGAGTACATGGCAGCAAATCCTCTGGGTATAAAGATGGGGGAAAGCGACTGATTTTATATCCCTTGAAATCTATGTCTCAGGTGGATTTTTGAAGCCTGCAGTCTTCATTTTGGGACTTATATTCTCATGGCTTATATCATTTGGCCAGGATGATTTCTGCATTTTCTGACAATCTTTCCCATTCCAAGTTTTGTAATGCTCCATCTCAAATTATCATCTTTTTCAAAATAATGGTCCAATAAAGGTATTACACCACTTTGATTTTTGATTTCTCTCATGGACCACACTTTTTAAATGGGCCAGGTGAAGATATTTTCAAAGAGATATCCATGTTAGTCTGTTTCATTATAAAAAGTAAATAAAAAAGATATTATCAGGTAGTGTGGCAGGGACCTATCCATGATATTAGCAGCAACTTTAAGACTGACTGGGGTTTTGCAGCCTGAGGCTTCTTGTGTCCAAAACACACTGCAGAAATAAT